GATTCATTCATTCATCGTCATTATCATCATTTCAGCTCTTCACAAATCCGCTGCTAAACACCACACTCACGGAATGCCACAAAGCACGGTCCTAAGTCCTCAATATGATTAATGTATGTATAATGATAATTTATTAGATATATTGAATTTGTTCGGAATTAAAAAGTCTATCTACCGAATTAAAATATGAGACTTGATTCTCATGCTTCAATCTTGTGGAAGGATTTCCTGCAATAGTTTATTCTAAACTAATCAACCGTATGGCGGTGTAAGAATATCCACTACCTCATATTTATCGTCCCGTGGGTGTTGTAGGAGACATGTGAGAAGTCCGCCAACATGCATTGGGTCATCGCGGCGGCCATTTATTTGCCCCAAAACCCTCTCAGAAATAAGAGAAGGCCTGAGCCCAGCAGGAAAGCGTATGTAGGTTGTAACCTTAACTTTTACTTTTAACGCAATAAAATCAGTAAACTTGCTTTCATTAAATCTGTTTTCTAAGAGTGTGCACAGTAATATCACAGGTTGCTATTAAAGCTATGAAAATATTGCATTGTATCACCTAAATGATATTTTATGATCAAACTGCACCGCGCTGCTAGCTTGGATTACTTAGCCGAGGCAACACGTTGGTTTGACGTCGCTTTTGTAATCCCTACATTTTATAGTTTTGATCGTATGCAGTTAGATTCTTTTATTATATGTAATTTCAGTCATAAAGATACGTTTTTTGCTAACATTTAACTTAAACAATAACAATAAAATAATATTTAATATGGTCTTACTTCAGTTAATTCTTCTTTTTATTGGTCCGTAAGAGCCCACGGCTGGACATGTTCAAAATCATATTAGTTTAAACTACAATTAATTTAGGTATTTAATATGAAATTATGTTATGATTACGTTTGTATTTAATTTAAGAAATTTAGCTTTTTAGAATTAAATATTGCAACACTGAAAGTTTTTACAACTGGCCACTTATAAATGATATAATAAAAAAATAAGTTCAAACTTTGAAAATGGAACTCTTTGCCAATATTATTGTGTATGTATTTTATTAATTTGTCATTTGTTTACGGTTTGTCAGCAAATTGAAAATTGTCTGTGTCACGTCAGCATGAATTTAACGCCATAAAATTTTCGTACAATGATTTTTCGTGACTTTCGATGTCATTTAAGTCAGCAATAAAGTTATGATAGACTTCGATTGGCCCTTCACGATGAAGCCCCTATCTCGTGCCACTGTATACAACTGGTTTAATGCGGTTAAACGTGGTCGCAATAATCTCACCGATGATCTGCGTGAGGGACGGCCTTCTACGGCGACGACTGAAGATAACATCAGTGTTGTGCGGCATATGATAGAGACTGACAAAAGAGTGACTTATCAGCAGATTCGGACAAGCTTAGACATTGGTATTATTCAAATGCACAAAATCTTCCATTAACATTTAGCGGTCCGGAAGCTTTGTGCCCGGTGGATACCTCATAATTTGACAGAGGCCCAAAAACTCCGTCGTGTTGATTAGTGTCATGACATGAATCAAAGATTTAACGGAGGTGACTCAAATGTTGTGTTCGACGAAAGCTGGATTTAATGTTATGATCCTGAAATTAAGAGACAGTCTGCTGTCTGGGTGTTTCCCTCCAAGGAGTTGCCAACTAAATTGAAGAGAGGTCGAAGCGTGGGCAAAAAGGTGGTGGCCTTCGAAAAGGGGTTCTTCGGAAGGACAGGTCATTACGCAACAATTGTTTTAGAGGATCGAAAAACAGTTACTGCAGAGTGGTACACTAACAACTTTTTGCTACTTATCTTGGAAAAAGTTCGGGAGAAACGACCTCGCAATAGGATCCTCCTTCACCACGACAACGCCTCGTCGCACACCGCCAAGCAAACAATCGATTACTAAGCGATGTCAGACGTGGAATTACTGGGTTTCTCACCCTATAGCCCCAACATGGCGCCTTGCGATTTTTATTTATTTCTGAAAATAAAAGAAAAACTTCGAGAAAAACGTTATATGGACGCCGAGGACGCAGTGTCTGCGTTTCAAAATGCCGTCGAAGAGACCCCTAAGGACGAGTGGGCAAAGTGCTTTTCTCAGTGGTTCCATCGGATGCAGCGATGTATTGATATAACTGGACACTATTTTGAAAAGATATAATAAGATTAATAACTTGCGAGTTGGTTCAGTTTTTGATTTTCTAAGAACTTTCAGTGTCACCCAGTAAAACTATAGACATCCGGTACTCGCGCAAGGGGGTGGGAGGCAGATGGGGGGAGGGGGAGGTTAAGGGGAAGCCCTGGGCACCCTTCCCCCGTTGCGGAAATGTATACTTTATGAGTAATATTTTTTTTTGTAAAATCATAACCTTACCTTTTTACACAGGAATATTGAATCAAAGTTACTTCTGTAACGGCTTCGGCGCTGCGGGAAGTGCAGCCCCTTCGCCCTTGCGTAGCAAATCACAGGCATCCATGCTCACTCCTGCAGCCTCGGCCGCTACGGCTCACACAGATGCCTGCGATTTGCCACAGCGGACGGGGGCTGCTCTCCCTCCGCGCCTACTCTCTAGGGCTCTCTAGGGGTAGGGCAGACAAGACTACGTGGAGTCGGGGCGTTCTGATACGGTTTTAGTACAGATTCTCCCTATCTTATCTATAAAGTCAGGTTACCCTAAACTCTGCTATGATAGTGGTAAATGAAACAATGTAATGTGAATTGTTATAATTTTGTTTTCTGAAAAACCTCTTTGACTGCTCTCCAATGCGACTCAATTCATTGGGTATGAGTCCCATCTTCAGCCACAAATGGATTGTCTGGGTCCAAGTAATTAACTTTTTTATGAGTGACCCGTTTCGTTATATTATGCAATTTTTAGTTAGTGAAATTTATTTTTATCGTAATTAATTCAAAACACATTTTCGTAATTCAAAAACATTATAAAAGGTTCTAGCTTAATCCTGACAATCCTGCTAAACTGAAAACATAATAAAAATCAAGTACTCGATGTTACTTCATAATACTAGACCTAATTGACACACGAATATTTGCGTTTCGTTAACGCAATATTTATTGAAATTTATTTTTATCGTAATTAATTCAAAACGCATTTCCGACATCCAAACACAGTGTAAAAGATTCATACTTAACCCTGACAAGTCTCCTAAACTGAAAACATAATTAAAATCAAGTACCGGACACCTAATTCATAATACTAGACCAAATTGACATATTTGCGTTTCGTTAATACACAATTTTTAGTGAAATTTATTTTTATCGTAATTAATTCAAAACGCTTTTCCGACATCCAAAAACAGTGTAAAAGGTTCAAGCTTAACCCTAACAAGCCTACTAAACTGAAAACATAATTAAAATCAACTACCGGACGTCTATAGCCAACCCTGTCACCCTCATATTATATGTTTAAAGTAGCGGAAAGTGCATTTATTTCAAAACCTTTTTTATAAGATTAAGTGCGGACTGCTTGCTATAGAAAACCAAAATAAAAATAATTCAATCAATATTTATTTGTAGCAGCGTCACATTTTAACAAATAGAAGTCCGAACATTTGGATTTTCTAATATAACATTCAAGCTATTTCTTTCTACCGTACCAGCAATAGTTTTTGTCTGAAATTAATTTTAATAACTAAAATAAATAAAAACAAAAAGACGTGATACAAAAGTATCGGTAATTATAAGTTTATATTACACATTTAAACAAAACTAATTTTATGGATTTCGTCGCATATATTAACTTATTATATATTTCTGACGTTTCGAGCACTTTACAGCGCCCACGGTCACGGCGGGGGGGACTGAGGTGTATTGTCCCAATGTCAATGTCTGCAGTCTGTGAACACGTATTATTCCCGACGTCTGTGAACACCTGCTCGAAACGTAGGGAATATAAAATAAGTTAATATACGCGTTAAAATCCGTAAAATTAGTTTTATTTAAAAGTGTAGTGTTCACGTAAATATAAGAAATCGTTATATTACATGTTTGTACATTTGCAAAAGTTTAAAGACTTCTGTGCCACCTTCCACGTGCCTGCACTGCCGCACAGATTTTGTTCGCAACACGTAGTACTTACATATTATTTCAATGTAATTTCAATTTCAATGTGATTTTTATAATGTTCATAAAAGTTATTTATAGGATAAAATACAAAGCAAACAAATTAAAAAACTGCAGTAAAATAAACAATAGTTCAATTGTTTCAATCTCATATTCAGTCAGGTTATTGTTTGAAAAATCGGCTCTGAGTCAAAAAATTTTAATTCATAAGTCATTAAGGCAAGTACTACGTATTTATCAATAATGAACGTATACTTTTCTCAATAACTAGAACAAGATAAATGCCTTGATTCATTGCAGGCTACAATTTCCCCTAATATCTAGGTTTCTAGATCGCAACGATAGTAAAATTTCACTTTGAAATCTCGCACATTTGACACTGTGCTCGCCGCGAATCGAAAGTCGTGAGGTATTTCTAATACTTTCCTGTATATAGTAACAGGACTACTAAAATGAAACACGAAACTTATTGACGTAAGGAATTATATATGTATGCTGTCATGTGAAACTGTTGTATTCTACAAAACTACAGGCCTATCGCCATCACCTCCTTGTTCTTCAAAATAATGGAATCCATTATAAACTGCCAGCTCATGCGGTACCTTGAGGATCACCAGCTGATTAGTGTTCGCCAATACGGGTTTCGTCGGGGTCGATCAGCTGGTGATCTTCTGGTCTAACTGACTCATAGATGGGTGGAGGCAGTATAGTCCAAGGGGGAGGCGTAGCCAAGTTGAGAACTGGAGCCTGGGAGATAGGGGTGGTGTCGATCTACCTGGAGTGTGACAAACCCATCGAGCCATACCTGGCCATAATTAAGAAGGTTTGCGAACGAGCAACGTGGTATTGGGTGGAGTTGTAAATGCCTGGGGCACCTAGTGGTGGAGTCGAGAGTCTAATGGCAGAGGGATCGTAATGGCGGATGCTCTTGATAAATTGGAGCTGCACATTTTAAACAAAGGTTCTGGGCCCACCTTCGACACCATTAGAGGTGGGAGAAGGTTTTCCAGCTGCGTCGACATAACGACTTACTCGACGGACCTTCTCGGAAAAATTGGGAACTGGAGGCTTTCTGGAGACGTTATTGGTTCGGATCACAGGGCAATTCTGTTTGAGCTCGAACTCGGCAAGGCTGTCGGCATAGACATCAAAAGAACAACCAGAAAATTCAACACCAGGAAGGCAAACTGGAGCGAGTTTCATACGAAACTAGCTCAGCTTTGGCAAAATAAAAGTTTGAACGTTACATCAATAAAAGAAATAGATAGCAAAATAGTACTGTAAAACTATATAAAAAACTACACAAACTCAATAATTGATGCCTGTGAAGGCAGCATGCCGAGATTGAGCAATAAGAAGAGAATAGAGCTGCCCTGGTGGACCGAGGAGCTCAGTGAACTCAAAAGGGAAGTCGCCAGAAGAAAACGCCGTATATCATATGCGGCGCCAGTTCGAAGAGAATGGGTCGTCGAGCAATACATAACTTGCAAAGAAAAATACCAGCTGGAGATGAAAAGGGCCCAGACCTCTAGTTGGAAGCAATTTTGCAGCAAGCAGGAAAAGGAGTCCATGTGGGATGGGATATACAGAGTGATTGGTAGAACAGCAGTCAGGCAGGAGGAGACTCCCTTAATCTGCGACGGTGTAAACGTGGTGAGCAAGGAATCTGCCAGGATCCTAGCGGATAGTTTCTGTCCAGAGGATGAAACTCAGAACGATGATGCGGACCATAAGAAGATCAGAGAGCTAGCGAGTAGAGTAAACGTAGGATCGCAAGGTGAACTATGCGACCCACCTTTCACGAGGGAAGAGTTGATATGGTCCGCATCAAGTTTCAACCCCAAGAAGGCTCCTGGAATAGATGGTCTAACAGCAGATATTTGCAATTCTACCATCACTCTGGACACCGACTTATTCCTGGCTTTGGCGTACAAGTGCCTCGAATTGGCATGCTTCCCAAAACTTTGGAAGTAAGCCGTGGTAGTCGTGCTACCAAAGCCGGGAAAGGAGAACTACACGCATCCCAAGTCTTATAGACCAATAGGCCTACTGCCAGTCCTAGGCAAGATACTGGAGAAAATGCTGATCAGAAAGATCAAATGGTACACAACGCCGACCATCAGCCACAAGCAGTACGGCTTTCTACCCCAACGCAGTACCGAAGACTCCCTTTATGACATGATGCAGTACATTAGGAATGAGTTAAAGCTAAAAAAACTGATCGTGCTAGTATCATTGGACATAGAGGGAGCCTTCGACAATGCTTGGTGGCCGGCGATACGCTGCAGACTGGCGGAGACCGGGTGCCCAGCGAATCTGAGGCGACTGATAGACCACTATCTTGAGGATAGAACAGTACGCGTCAGGTTTGCTGGAGCAGAATGGTCGAAAAACACGATAAAGGGGTGCGTGCAGGGATCCATCGGTGGTCCCACCCTATGGAATATATTACTGGATCCATTGCTGAAAGAAGTGGAGTTAAAAGGGGAGCACTGCCAGGCATTCGCTGATGATGTGGTCCTCATTGTCTCCAGAGACACGGCGCAGGAGGTACAAAGACGAACTAATGCCGTCCTCGGGCATGTTTGGAGCTGGGGAGTCAAAAATAAATTGCGTTTCGCGCCACATAAAATCAAGGCCATATTGTTTACAAACAAACTCAAATACGACTCACTAGCTCTAACCATGGGCGGGGAGGAAATAGTTTACTCCCGTGAAATTAAAATACTTGGTCTGACAATTGACAATAAACTGACATTCAACGCGCACATAAAAAATATATGTAGGAAGGCCCAGAAAATGTATGGCCAACTTTCGAGGGCCGCGAAAATCAACTGGGGTCTTAATTCGGAGATAGTGAGGACCATATACCTGGCGGTGGTGGAGCCAGTGATTCTTTATGCAGCGAGCGTTTGGGCACCGGCTACTAAAAAGGTTCAGACAAGAAAATTACTGAACTCGGTGCAACGCGGCTTCGTGCAGAAGATAGTTAGGGCGTACAGAACTGTTTCATTGAACTCGGCCCTCCTCCTGGCTGGGCTGCTCCCCCTGGATTTAAGGATTCAGGAGGCAGCATTAATATATGAAATTAAAAAAGGACATTCCAGGGAGGTGGTAGGTGACCGGGAATTGGAGGGAATGGAAGCCCATATAAAACTGCCGCATCCTGCGGGTCAGGAGGGGCCGAAGTTCTTATGTCTGGGCGACGGTGCACAAGTGGTTCAAAAAAATAACAGCGAGCTCACCATCTTTACGGATGGTAGCAAAATTGAGGGAAAAGTGGGTGCGGCGTTGTCCATCTGGAACAGTGCTGCCGAAACTTTCACCAAAAAATTTAAATTGGATTAATTTTGCACCGTTTACCAGGCGGAGCTGTTGGCCCTACTTGAGGCCACCAAATTTGCACTTGAATCCTCTGCACGAAGTTGCAACATATATAGTGACTCCAGATCAGCTTTGGAGACGATCACTCGGGGCGACTCCCTTCACCCCTTGGCGGTGAGAGCAAGGGAAAATATAGAAAAGTTGAAAGATCTTGGAAAATCACTTGCTCTGTACTGGGTCAGAGCTCATGCGGGGGTGGAGGGAAATAAAAGGGCCGACATCTTGGCAAAAGAAGCCACACTGAGAACCAAGACTAAACCATATTACGACAAATGTCCTGTTTCATTTGTCAAACGACAAATCAGGATGGACTCACTTGACGAGTGGAACAGGAGGTATAGAGAGGAAAATACTGCCACCACTACTAAGTTTTTCTTTCCGGATGCTGTTGACGCAGGTGCTAACAGGACATGGCGGGTTCTCTGAGTATCTGTACCGTTTCAAATGCAAGGAGAGCCCCTCATGTACCTGTGATAGATAACAGGTAGAAACGGTAATACACCTCATTACGGAGTGTCCTAGAAATTATAGAGCAAGAAAAGAAGTAGAATTAAAATTCAAAATAAAAATAAATAAAGAGGAAATACACGTAATAATGAAAGACAAAGAAATTAGAGGCAAATTTATAGAATATTGTAAGCGTATCGCGAAAATAGCTATAGATAGAAATAAGTAGATATAAAAAGGGAACTTGAATATATATGTGAGAATATATAATACAAGTCCCAAAATAAATAGAAATTAATAAATAAAAACAGTTGTAATTAGTAAATAATATAATAGAAATAAGAAAAGGAAATTGAAAATATATGTATATAGTTCATATAGATTAATTTCAAATTAACGTGTAATAAATCATAAGAAATAAACAAAATAATATGGTAGATATAAGTTAGCGATACGATAAGTTAATAAGTAAAAGAATTATATAGAGTAGAAATAAATAGAAAGTAAGAAAATAAGATAACATAGAACACTGTAATAAGAAAGTTAAAAGGAAAGCACTGTAATGTGGTAGAAGATAAGGATGTAAAGTAAGAAAATAGTAAAGAAAAATAGAGATAAGAGATAAAATACTGTAAATAACACAAAATATATAAAAAGTCAAAAAGAACATTGACAAATAAACGAAAAGAGCGCAAGGTCCCTGATCTCCCACGTCAGGGGAAATAGAAAAAAAAAAGGGGGAGGCGTTGGCCATTAATTTGGACATTGCGAAGGCCTTCGATCGGGTTTGGCACAAAGCACTTCTTTCGAAGCTTCCTTCCTATGGGCTTTACGAGAAATTGTGCAATTGGATCACCAGCGTCTTTGCTGATCGGAGCATCAACTTCGCTGTAGACGGTGCATGCTCCCACTACAAGCCATTTAACGCTGGTGTTCCACAAGTATGTGTGCTATCACCAACGCTGTTTCTTCTGCATATCAATGATATGTTGCAAGCTGGTACACATTCATTACTATGCGGATGAAGCACTGGTGATGCTCTAAACACCGGCCGTGCCGATATTTTTACCTTATGTCTGAAGTCGATTCTTTGCTGAACGAAGTCTCAGATTGGGGACGACTAAATCTAATCCAGTTTAATTCTCAGAAGACAAGTTTGCGCGTTTACCGCTAAAAAGAACCCCTTTGTCGTATCTCCTGAGTTTCAAGGCACTCCCCTTGTTGCCTCAGCCAGTATTGGAATCCTCGGCGTCGAGATATCGAGTGACGTGCAGTTCCGTGGTCACTTGAAAGAGAAGGCCAACTTGGCCTCTACAAAGCTTGGCGTGCTCAGTGGAGCGGGACAGTATTTCATGCCGGCAAAATGCCTGCAACTTTACAAGGCTGAAGGAATACTGTTCCCATATCTGAGCTGGGATACCCCAGTGCCAGCTCCTTTCACTTGACCGCATTCAGCTAAGACCGCTTCGAATCGTCGACGACCGAGTCCTTTCCAATCGGCTCGATTCATTGGCGCTGCGAATTGATGTTGCATCCCTTTGCATTTTCTTTCGCATTTACCACGGGGAGTGCTCTGAGGAATTGTTGGGATTAATCCCAGCCGCCAAATTTCACGAACGCACATCGCGGCAGAACTCCTAATACCATCCATAACATCTAGATGATTGGCGGTCCACCACTGTGCGATTTAGAAGATGTTTTCTTCCTCGCACAACTTCCTTGTGGAATCGATTACCATCAGCGATTTTTGCGGACGGATACGACTTAGGGACCTTCAATAAAAGATCCTACTTCTTTTAAAAATGCCGGCAACGCATCTGCAATTCCCGTGATTTTTTTTTTATAGGAGAGGGGGCAAACGAGCATGCGGCTCACCTGATGGTAAGTGACTACCGCCGCCCATGAACAACCGCAACACCAGGGGAATTGCAGATGCGTTGCCGGCCTTTTAAAAAGGAGTAGGCTCTTTTCTTGAAGGTCCCTAAGTCGTATCGGTCCGGAAAAATCGCAGGTGGTAAACTATTCCACAAAGAAGTTGTGCGAGGAAGAAAACATCTTCTAAATCGCACAGTGGTGGACCGCCAATCATCCAGATGGTGTGGATGGTATCGGGAGTTCTGCCGCGATGTGCGTTCGTTAAATTTGGCGGCTGGGATTAATCCGAACGATTCCTCAGAGCACTCCCCATGGTAAATGCGAAAGAAAATGCTAAGAGATGCAGACTCGGTCGTCGACAATTCGAGCCGCTCTGCGCTGGATGCGGTCAAGTGGAAGAAGCTGGCACTGGGGAGCCCCAGCCCAGAGATGGGAACAGTATTCCATGTGAGGCCGAACCTGCGCCTTGTAAAGTTGCAGGCGTTGAGCCGGCATGAAATACTGTCCCGCTCTGCTGAGCACGCCAAGCTTTTTAGAGGCCAATTTGGCCTTCTCTTCCAAGTGACCACGAAACTGCA